ACCAAAAAAAAAAAAAAAAAAAAAAAAAAAGAGGTGGGGGAGGGGAAGAGACTCACTGGCCTGGTGCAAAGGTAGAAAAGGGAAGTGTGAACGGGCTGAGTCAACAGCACAGGGGCCAGAGGGCACTGGACTATGACGCCCTAGGGTCTCAGGGCTTCCTGGTAGCCCAAGATCCTTCTCTCTCCTGCCTACCCTCAGAAGCTCCAGGTTCATCTGATGATGAGCAGAGCCTAGGTCTTCAGGTCATTTCCCACCCAATCACCCATTTTTCTTTTCTCCTCCCCTCCCATCCTCCTCCTCTTCCTATATCATAGTCTCCTTCCCATCCCCTGGCCTCCCTCCTCTCCCCCATGGCCTCCCACCTTGGCTGCCCCTTTTTCACCCTTGCTTCTCTTCTACTGCTCTTGGCCTCTCCCTGCCCTCCTCCTCCTAGACCTTGTCAAGAAAGCTCACCAACTTTTAACTCTAACCTCCCTTTTTCTATTCTGGTACCTACCTATCTGGACCACTAGAAAATTCTCCCTTTAGTCTAACCTCCTTCTGCCCTGCTCCAAATTATAGTTCTTTAGGAGATCAAATCCTCCTCTGAATAACAGCCTTTATAGGACCTCAAAGTCCAAGTCCAAATAGCTCTTATTACTGCCCTATACTCTGACTTCTCTTCTCTCCTGCTCTCCCAACCTTCTCTATGACACAAATAAAAAAGTCTGAGGACTCATTATGTTTGAATTAAAAGTATGCAAGCAAAAAAATGTGAAAATCATATTAAAACAGCAACATGGGGAGGGGCAAATTAGGGGTATGGGATTAAGAGACACAAACTACCATGTATAAAATAGATAATCAGGGAATTCCCTGGTGGTCCAGTGGTTAGGACTCTGCGCTTTCATTGCTGAGGGTGCGGGTTCAATCTCTGGTGGGGGAACTAAGATCCCGCAAGCCACGCAGCGTGACCAAAGATAAAAACAAAACAAAACAATAACAGATAAGCAGCAAAGATGTACTATATAGCATGGGGATTTATAACCGTTACCTTGTAATAACTTTAATGGAGTATATATAATCTGTAAAAATGCTGAAACTAATATAATATCGTAAATCAACTATACTTCAAAAAATAAAATAAAAAGAGCAACATGTCTGAATCAGGGTCAACTCCCAAATGGGCAGTCCTGCAGATTTGCCCTAAGGCTGCTGCAACTCCCCCTCCCCTCCCCTGACCTCTTCCCTCTGCCCTTAGGCCTCCAGGAGCTCTCACCTGGGAAAGAGGCAGGGAAAGGGAGGGAGAGAACTAGGGGTAGCCAGAGAACAGGGTCTCTTGTGGCCCTTCACCTCTCTGGCATCAACATCCCACAGACGACCCAGCTACTCTGGGTCCAGGCTCCCCCGCCTCCCAACACTCACCCTCTCTCCAAGTGACCCTCTCTCTAGGTGGGCCAGCAGTGGGCAGCAGCCACAGCAGCAGCACATCCCAACACGGACACTGCCCAGCAGCAAGCGGCCCTGGCACTGCCTAGCGCTATTGTCCTGGTGGCAGTCCGCACCCGCCCCAGGGCTCAGGCTGGTGAGGCTAGAAGGACACAGGGGGCCTGCTCACCAGGGGTGCCTGCTCCAGAGATGGAGTGAATGGGCTTGTTTGGTTCTCTGTCCTACTCTTTCCAGATCTTCTTAAGATCATCCCAGTTACCCGCCCACCCACCAGCGGGACAGCTCTTCACCTTCATGGCCCCATCTGTCCACCAAGAAAAGGGGCCATTACTCTGCAATCCACAACACCCACCCCAACACTCAGAGGCCCTTCCTGCTTGGTTCAGTCCTCTACTGTCCAGTGTCCGTAGCCTTGCTTTCTCACAAACCCTCACAGAAAGTCTTTCTTGCTATTGCTACACAATAAATGAATAAAGCACCTAGCACAACGGCTGGTATACAACAGCCACTTAATACATGTTTAGAAAGAAAGGAAGAAAAGAAGGATGCGTGAATGGATAGACACCAAGACAAGGGGTCCCAGCAGCACCCTTGCCTCTACTCTAGGGATCCCCTCATTCCTTAAAAGAGCTTCAGAGCTTTCAGTCTCCTCCTCTCTCTCTTCCCCACCCCCCACCCCAGCTGCACCTCGCACTTGTGGGAATCTTAGTTTCCTGACCAGGGATCCAACCCATGCCCCCTGCAGTGGAAGTACAGAGTCCTAACCACTGAACCACCAGGGAATTCTGGTCTCCTCCTCTCTTGTTTATTCTTTTCTCCCTCCTCCCAGACCTTTTCTCCTGATTCCTTTGAACTTAGGACCGGATGGTATTCTCTGAAGGTCAGAAGAAAACCAACCCAAACTTTCCTTCCACTGTCATCCCAGATCTTGGTCATTTTGGGGAAAGAAAGACTAGGCGAATGGCAGAGGACATTGAGACTGGTGGCTCAAAGTCTCATAGAACAGAATCAGTCTCCCCTTTCTCCGTATTTTGTCTCCCAGGCCGAGAGATGAAGAAAACAGTGACATACGTGAAGCCCAAGGAATGCCAAAGCCTGGACTTCGGCTTCCTGTTCCCCGGCGGGCAGCAGAGGATGGCGGAGCCGACCCAGAAGAGTAAGAGCCTCTCCAAGCAAAGTCTAAGCTCTCAGCTGTTCTTGTTCCTCCATTGGGTATGTCCAAACCAAGACCTCTGGAGAAGTCACGTGGTGCTCAGAATGACCTCGGCTCCAGCTGTAAGTGGCAGCAGCCCCTTCCCCAAGGTGGCGCAGCCTCTGTCCAGGCCCTTTGTTTAGGGACCAGAAGGCCCCCAGAGGGTTCCACTGGGTTTCCAGTCATCTGTAACTTAGGCCCTGGACAGCAGAGGTTCAGAGTCATAGGCTGCAAGGAGTACTGAGTCATGAGGGATGGGCTCTAAGGCTGGGAAAAGAGGAGAGAGAGGGTTCCTGGCCATGGGACTGAGAAGAGGGCTTGGGATTGTCTCAGCCAGGCTCTGCTTCCTTTATGAGCTTCCACAGACGAGATAAAGGCAGGAAGCTAAGGAGAAGGCGGCCAAACGGAAACGCTAACGCCAAAGCCAGAAACATAACACAAAAAGACATCGCTGAACACACAAAGGCACTTAATCAACGCTTGCCTGATGAATGAAGATGAGACACCGGACAATGGGGGTGGGCACACTGGTGAAGCAGAAGAGGGGTGCTAAGGACCACAGGGAATAAAGTCGGGCTACCCTGAGACCCAGGGATCCTGGACCCCACCCTACCCCCACCCCCCACCCGGCCACACCTGTCAGGT